ACAGTAAAAAGTCTCCAATATCACACCTATTCCCTATTTAAATAGCTTTAGTTTAACTGAGTACTTAGGTTTGCTGCAAAAAGGAGGGTAAAAAGGTGTTTTTTTTTTATATAGTGGTAATAGTTTATTATGAAATGAATGCAAATTTAATCAAAATATGCTCATAAACAAGAAAACTACAACAGTTTACAATTTTATCCATAAGAATAACATGGGAATTTTAAATTTACAATTTTTTGAATTTTCTCCGTAGCCATTAGGCGCATAGTAACGCTTCGATATACTAAATTTGTTTTTTAAACCCTACAAAATGGTTTGGAAAGAAGTTGCTAAATTTAATGTTTTTAGGGAAAAAATGTTAAAATCCAATTTTCACCCCATAAATTCCCCCCCCCCCCCCCCCATAAACCCCCGTTCCCATAGTCCGATCATGATGATTCGCGAACCCCTTTGAATAAAGGTAGATTTACACGTTTGTACCAAATTTAATCAAAATCGTATCATTTTTGCTCGAGCTATCGCGCTAACGGACACACACATATGAGCATTTGAACAGAGGAGGTTTTTGGCCTCTGGGGACCTCTAAACGAAAAAGTAAATCAGTCCTGGGTCTAGGTCTTACCATGAGACCTACGGTAATAGCTTATTCCCTATATGGGAAATTCGCTAAAATTTACCACCACACGCATCCCCTTTTAGCGAACATCCCATATAGGAGATAAGCTATTGCCGAAGGTCTTATGGTAAAACATAGACCCGAAACCGATTTACGTTTTCATGTCGATGCCCGCAGAAGCCTAAAGCACCATCCACTCAAAATATTATATATGTGTTTATATATATATATATAATATAATATATTCATGTTATATACGTGTCCGTAAACATGATAACTCGAGTAATTTTGGTTCAATTTTAACGAAACCGTTATAATCGGTCCATGGAACAGGGTTTTATGTGATAAAAATTTGTAATCTTTGACCCTCAAAAGACAAAGTTTCCCAATTTTTTCTAGAGCAGTTTAAAGAGCTTAAAGAAAACAAATAATTTAGTATATTAACGTGTTTTTAAGTGTATTAGTTACGAATAAAATTCAAAAATTGTAAATTTAAAATTCCATGTTATTCTTAAGGAGAATAGTGTAAAATAATTTTGTTTGTTTGTTTATTGATATGTCTAAATACAACTTGTCAAATTTATTTGTTTTATACTAGGCTATTAATATTTTATTATAAACACACTTTATTAGCCTCCTTGTAGCAGCAAACCTAAGTATTCATTAAACTCAATGCTATTTTAGATTTAATTGAAAATCGGGCAAATGAAAATTCGCTTAGTCTGCAGGTTTGCTATGACGGGGGTATTTAATATTTTCTCTTGTGATCCTTCCCTCTTATATAGTAAAGAATTACAGTGTTATTTTCAATAATCCTCTTTTATTCTGCATGGAGGTAACTAATTTTATCACTTTATGAATAAATGTTTAAATATCGTAAAAAGTAATGTCCCAATCGATTTAAAATAACTAAAACCATCGAAACCACACCTCACTCGACCTTAAACGTAAAAACAAAATTATTCAGGAACAAAGGCCCTTCGGAACAAAAAGGGCCTTAGGACGCCCCAAAATTTTGGGGACTCATCGGATCTTAATTTCTCATATTATTAGTAACTCACAGGTGAAATTTCATGAATGTACAAATTTTGTTGTTTATAAGGAGTGTTTTTGTATTATTTTACCTGTACTATTTAGGTTTTGTTTTGATTTATAGTCAAGGCCTACATAGTCAAATCAAATATTCATTATTGCCGTAAAACCACGGGCGCCTTTGTGGCCATGCGTAATACACAAAGGCGGCCGTGCACTATTCAAGTAGGTACATAATAAAATACAACATTACATACAAATATAACGAACATCTTTTCCTTCTTATTTTTAACATAATTGTCCACAGAATAGAAACTGTTTTCTAGTAATGAATAAAAAATACTATTATAGTATTTACTGGTGTATTTATTATAGCCTTTTGGAGTTCTCTCTACAGAGAATTCACCAATTTAGAGATCTAGGGAATTTTCCTGAAATTTAGGGAATTTTTGAGCGGAGCGAGCGAAGCGAGCGAAGCGAGCGAAGCTCTTATACGTCGACTTTTATGCATTTCGTAATACGCAAACTCCTCCTAGACGGCTGAATCAATCGTTTTCAAATTTTGCATGGTGATAAAGACCATACCGGTGAGTGCCAACATCTATATGGCGTTAAAAAAGTCTCTCAGGAATCCGCCCCACTGGGTCACAAAGTTTCAATGTAATCCTTATGGAAGCAGTATTTGACACATAAACAAAGACATATGATCAGCTGTTGACTTTTGAATGCAGTAGATAAATAAATAGCTGATAGCATTATGCCACAGATATAAGAACATAAACGGTGGTATGGATCATAAATATAATCAAATGACGACACTAGCTTGAGGTCCGTGACGTAGGAAGTGGTGAAGGAAGTAGTAAAGGTGAGCAGTCTGGAGTGTGGAAACTGTTAAAGACGATTAGATTTAGGTAGGTATCTGCATTCCTAAAATTTTATGGGAAGGGAGGAAAACGGGTCCGTGACGTAGGAAGTGGTGAAGGAAGTAGATTTAGGTAGGTATCTGCATTCCTAAAATTCTATGGGAAGGGAGGAAAACGGGTCCGTGACGTAGGAAGTGGTGAAGGAAGTAGTCAAGGCGAGCTGTACGGAGTGTGGGAACTGTTTATGACGATTAGATTAAGGTATCTGCATTCCTAAAATTCTATGGGAAGGGAGGGAAACAGGTCCACGACGTAGGAATTGGTGAAGGAAGTAGTCAAGGCGAGCTGTGCGGAGTGTGGGAACTGTTTATGACGATTAGATTAAGAGGTATCTGCATTCCTAAAATTCTATGGGAAGGGAGGGAAACAGGTCCGCGACGTAGGAAGTGGTGAAGATAGTATTAAGGGTGAGCTGTTCGGGGTATCGGATCTGTTTATGACCATTAGATTAAGGTATTTGCAATCCTAAAATGCTATGGGAAGGGAGGAAAACAGGTCCGCGACGTAGGAAGTGGTGAAGGAAATAGTTAAGGTTAGCTGTGCGGAGTGTGGAAACTGTTTATGACTATTAGATTAAGGTATCTACAATCTTAAAATGCTATGGAAAGGGAGGAAAACAGGTCCGCGATGTACGAAGTGGTGAAGGAAGTAGTCAAGGCGAGCTGTCCGGAGTGTGTGAACTGTATATGACGGTTAGATTTAAGGTATCTGCAATCCTAAAATGCTATGGAAAGGGAGGGAAACAGGTCCGTGACGTAGGAAGTGGTGAAGGAAGTAGTAAAGGCGAGTTGTCCGGAGTGTGGGATATGTTTATGACCAATGATTAAGGTATTTGCAATCCAATAATGCTAAGGGAAGGGAGGTAAACAGGCCCGTGACGTAGGAAGAGATGAAGGAAGTAGTAAAGGCGAGTTTTTCGGAGTGTGGGAACTGTTTATGACGATTAGATTAAGGTATCTTGGTATATACAATCTTGAAATTCTATGGGAAGAGAGGGAAATAGGTCTGCGACGTAAGAAGAGGTGAAGGAGCAAGGTAAGGTGAAGGGTAGGTAAGGTGAGCAGTGTGGACTTAGGGAACTGGAAACCGTTTGTAGCAGTTAGATTAATGTATCTGCAATGCTGAAATGCTATGTGAAGGGATGGAAGCATGCCCATGACATAGAAAATGGTAAAAGAAGTAGTAAAGGCTAGCAGTGCGGAGTGTGGGCAATGTTTATGGCAATTAGGTTAACGTTTCTAAAATATTAAAATGCTATGGAAAGTGATGAAAACAGGTCCACGATGTAGGAAATTTCTTAGGAAGTAATAAAGTATGAACATATTGTGAGAACCGTCTGTGGCAGTTAGAATAATGTATCTTCAATCCTAAAATGCTATGAGAAGGGAAGGAAACAGGCCTCACGACGTAGGATGTGGTGACGGAAGTATTAAAGGCTGGCAGTGCAGAGTGAGTGAACCGTTTGGGCAGTTATATAAATGTATCTAATACTTAAAATGCTATGATAAGGGAAGGAAACAGGTCTATGACGTAGGGAATGGTGAAGGAAGTAGTAAGGCTTGCAGTGCAGAGTGTGGGAACTGTCTTTGGCAATTACATTAATGTATCTGCAATCCTAAAATGCTATGGGAAGAGAGAGAAACAGGTCCACGACGTAGGGCGTGGTGAAGGAAGTAGTAAAGGTGGGCAGTGTTGAGTGTGGGAATGGATAAATGTATCTGCAATGCTAGAATGCTATGGGAAGGGACTGGTTATAATGATTATGAAGCACGAATCGTTACATATTTCGATACGTATTCAATCGTTTACAATATAAATTTACAACTGAGTTGACAAAAGCTGAGTTTTACTCCATAGAGGCTAAAAACGAATTTTATTCCTTGAAGAGTAAAAATGCTACTTTAGACCGGCAACGCATGCATCAATGACGACTGTTTTTACTGCAGTATGACAAAAACAATATAATATGAACCCTTGATGACTCCGCTCAATTTTGTGTATGCATCTGCGAACGCCACCTAGTTATCTTAAATATACAGTAGAGACATGGTGGAAGGAAAAAACATAGGTGTGCTATTCCCACATATTCTGACGTCACTCGGATTGCAAACAAAAGATCACCTGATTGTAACTGTCAGATTAGTATGTATTTGTTTTGATTTTATTGTTATTGTTTTTATAATAATAAAAACAATAACAACCAAATCAAAACAAATACATTTACTAATTTGACAGTTACAATCAGGTGATCTTTTGTTTGCAATCCGAGTGACGTCAGAATATGTGGGAATAGCACACCTATGTTTTTTCCTTCCACCATGCAGTAGAGACATAAAGATCGTTTGGGTTTGAGACACTGAATGAAGTAGTGAAGTGAATTGAAGAAGTGACTCCAATTGACTGTCTGAGTGAAAAATAAAACAGGAAGTTGTTTTGTTTACAATGTTGAAGTGAATGAAGTGACAAAATAATACTATTGTATTAATTTACTTTTAAATATTATCCTGACAGTTTGCCAAAATGGCTAATATTCAAACACCTATTGATAAATTTGAGAGACCAGATCCTGTGCTGACGAATAAAATCGTAACTCATATAAAATCGCAAGGAATATTTGATGAATTTCGTAGAGAATGCATGGCTGATGTCGACACAAAGGTAATAAAAATAATGTCTCTCATCTATAAGTTTACTTAATCATATATTTAATAAAATAAATGTTACATCCACTAGTTTTAGGCATATAACTTGGTTCATTCCGTAGGACTAGGCCTGAGTTCAAGACGATTGCAGCACGTCTTTTAAAGGTTATGTCATTGACCTAAGTAGCCTTTTTACAACAAAATTGTGGGCTATTTAGATCAATATTCACATTTAGCCTTATGCTTAAAATACCTTTCAGCCGGTACCCTCGTACCTAAGTTAAACGGCAGGCCTTATAAATTGCCCTTGAAAACACCTACTGTTGTTGGGTTCTAAGTTAATTCAAATGGCCCTTCCCTCTTCGTAGACTTCTTTTAAAATACATGCTTGAAAATCTTCCTACATTATTATACTTACTATAGGCACAGGATATACGCATCTGGTAACCAGGCGTGGATTAAGCATCTACCTCTAAAAAGATGTAGGCCTACAGTTAAGAAATAGCATACTAAGCAAAATCTTTGACAAAAAGTTAGTGTCACCGATGGGATTCGATCTAGATAGCCTACCTCTTGTACATCAGTCGAGTAGCCTACTTTATCCACAACCTACACCACAAACACCCATGGCTGTACATCGAATCGTTGTGGTAATGGTGTTCCAAGCCCCCACAACCCGGTGATGTCACTGCTGGACGCTTAATCCACGTTCGGTTACGGACGCGCATCCTCTGCATAATATATATCTAGGCCTAGCGACTGCCAAATTACCAATGTCAAGTTGAACAAACAAACCATAGCCTAATAAGTTAGACAGTTAATTTTGATTAGTCTAGAGCATTAGCCTAGGCAAATAGCCCTAACAAATAATTCCAGAGACATCCTCTGACTGTACGTAACAAATCAATTATGAAGTAGGCTACCTAGACCTGACTAACTTAATTCTTCGTAGTGGATGGCCTGGGTTTCAGCTTCTGTTCAAGCCATAGGCTAATCATATCCCTCAGAGCTTCCTAATATTTTTCCATCTCTTGATGTCTTTCAAACAATTTAGGCTACACATTTACTGTGGAACCCTAAAACACTTTCAAAAACAATATGTAAACATGGTCACACAATATCTAACTTCTAGACCCCCTAACCGCTGACACTGCCAAGACAAAATTGTTAAGATACCCTATTTTAAATCATTTAGCATTAGGCTACTTAAGTTAATAGTCTAATTAAGTTTAACCCCTTAAGTTTCCGCATTTGGCAAATTTTTATACATGCTATTGGTTGGGAGGAAAAACGATTTGTGAGAAATTAAGTTAGGCCTCTATTTAGGAAGTAAAAAGCCTAAAATCTGTAATGAGTCATTCCACTTCAAATCACCCAAAAATTTTGGTTTTGAAACCCACCATCTCAGAATTTGATGAAACTTTGTGAAAATGTTCATTCCTATGCCCTAAGTAAAAATACAAAAAATTTTGAAGATACTGCTGATACTTTTTTTATATTAATTTTTTTCCGATACACCGTTTTGACCATTTCAGGTCTCGGAATCGACAACCAAATGTAGCCTGGGGACCAAAAAATTTAATTATTCGCAAACCATTTAAGACAACATTTTCAAATTTTTAAGGCAAGTTTCCTATGTCTTGAACATAAAAAAAAAAAACTGTCTATAGGTCACTCTAGAGTATAATACAAATTTATAAAAATTATTATAAATTTAAATTTAATTTTTTTAAATTTGACCGACATGTATTGTGAAAAACGGCTATAACTTTTTTCTCCGACCAGCTAGAACAATTATTGTTTTTGCAGAATTTTCCTTAAGCTATGAACTGTTTGAAAATATAAAGATATTAGTGGTTTTCTATGTACAGATATTGTAAAAAAATAGTTTTATTAAAATATGAATTAACGCTAAAAATTTAGTAACATATATCTTGTATCTTATAAAATAATAGCCTACTTACAAGAGTTTGCAGTTGTGAAAGCTTAATTTACCTAAGTCCTGTAGTTATTTGACAATATTAAATTACATTTTTGAAGATTATTTGATATTTCCTTAAACAAATTTAAAGCTAAATGCTTTTGAGCGGTATACTACCTTGAAATGGTTGTAACAAAATAGTTGAATATTACTTTATTATTGGCTGATTTACAACTTGAGTAAATTTTATGACATGAGAGATAACACACATGACATAGTTATTTTAAAGTTTTTCCTGTATTTATATTGCCCGGCACATCCATCCGTAAAATAGTGCACCTTTGTGACTGATGGAAAACTGTCTTTCAGCACGAACCGTTGTCTCTCGTAACACCGCCCACCAGCGCACCTTCCCCCACCACCGCGCCGCCGTGTCAAACGCCCGCCATGTTTGCGTGAGGCCGGAGTTGGCGCGAAATTTAAAATTGCATGTTAATAAATGGGCTGATAGCTCATGTTCAACCTTCGAGTTCTTACTAGAAAAAAATTAAATAAATGAGTTTTGTTGTGATAACATTTCTGTTAATACTAGTCTTTATTTACAATTACCTGACATAGCCAAAAAATCAGAGATACATGTAATATATCTACATAAATTGATTTGAACATCTGAACGTGAGTAGGTTTTCATTGCATATTCAGTTCTTGGGGCCAAAAATTCTAAACATATTTATAATCAAGCTTCTAGTATGGCAAGCATTCCTTTGTTTTATAACTAGAGAGTATATATCCTGGCTAAAAATCATACTTAAACGTTTCTAACTAATTGTTAATGACCTAAAAGTAATAGTTGTAGTTTTTTTTTATACAGTTATAATAATTTTGATTATAACAATCTGTTAGCACTGCAGAACTGTATGTAAAAGCAAATAAGAGTAATATATTATTTTATTAAGGCATGACCATGAATGCATTTTAAGGCCTCTTACTGTAGGTTATGCTTCTGATTCATTCACAAATAGGCTCCATTTACAAAATTCTTGAATTTGTTATATCAGACTTTTAAAGACACAATACCAGAAGTTATTCCTTACTAGATTAGAATCACCATTTTAAGGGTGATCAAATGAATTTCAAAATAGCTTATACGAGCTGTTGGCCCCGTCCTACGTACGGGAATCGAGTAGTCAATTAAAACTCAATATGATTCAGAACAGCTAGTTTACAACTTGGTGGCCGATTCACACACACTGGCTTTGAGTACAGTAGCTACATACCACCATCCACTGCATGGGCCTACTATCACTTACCGTACCTTATTTTATCACCTTGGCCACTGAAACCTCTAAAATGATCCTGGCCTCCTGGCTCTTCTATCCCCTGCCATTTCTGGATGACAGGAAGACAGGAAGATACCTACCATTCTGAAGATGTCTTTCATTACTTGGTCTTCCAAGTGGTCGTCTACCTTGCAGTACTCCTTGGAATACACTTTTAAAAGTTGAAGTATCTTCTCTCCGCCATGCAAAGCCTACCCAGCCCATCCGAGATCCGAGCCTTTTGGTCTACTTTTGGAATGTACCCCTTTATCAAGTTTCTGAATCATACAGTACTACTGGGATAGTTATGATATGGTATGAATCGATTTTGGTTTCTACTGACACCCTGCAGCTTACTGGTCAGTTTTCTGGAGGCCTACTACACCGGTTGATATTTTCATTACGAATAAAATGTGTACTGTATGCAGTCATACTTATATTCAAACATCTAGACAAATATGAATCAACACGTAAACCACTTATATCTTAAAGGATTAAGCACTTATACTTAGACGGATTACATTTATGACATAACTTGATTATACGTTTAAAATGTTTAGTTCAAAATTACACAATCTCCTGATAACATAGATCTTTTTACGGTGGAAAATAAACTGCATTTTAAAGTAAAATATCGTGTAGGCAAACTCTGACGATCATTATTTTTGTATACAAACAACTTGTAACATAAACATTTCAATGACAGTTAGAAACCAGCTGTTAGTTAAACCACCACTAAAACGACTTTAACTCGTCCGTCGGCTGCTAGACTTTTTGAAAATTAAAACTTAATTTCTAAAAAACTGAAACCCTAAACTAAAATTATGGCTTCGACATTCCCTAGATCTCAAAATTATCTTTCTTTCAACACAAAAATCATAAAAATCCATCAAGTGGTTGATTCAGAATAGTGAAATAAAAAAACCCTGTTTCGTTTTAATATATAGGATTATATTTTATTTAGGCAATTAACAAGAGCATGAAAACAGTAAACCTCTGAAACTTAGATTCTTTCAAGTTAGGCTATGTAAAAATCCATGTTAGAGTGCTAAAAAATGTTATTTTTTTACCACTGTTACCGTTTGACTGTCTTGGCTATAAGTTGAGATCTTCATTAGGCAATTATAATTATTGTGAAACATTGACATTGCACAATTCCAATAGGACAGTTAAGGATTTTGAATAACTTAAAGTTCCAAATTGCAAGAATGAAATATTAAAAAATAAAATGACTGTGAAATAAAACAAAATATATTTTGCAAGAGTAACTTAACTTATTTAGAAACCCCAATAGGCACAATAGGAATTTTATTGATGAGGAAGTTGAGGTTTAGTAAATAAAACAAATTAATTAGTCAAATACAGTGTATTTAAACATTTCACAAAAACAAAGTGAATCTTCTTTTATCCAAGTCTTAGATCATTACATTTGGAGTTTTTTTCATTGGAGAAACTGAACTATCAATTTGAGTGTGTTTGCTGTGGTGGATTTGGCTGATGTCCGTTTGATTTTCCCTGTGCTTTGTCTTGGCGTCTTAATCTCCATGGGTTCAATTGGAGTCTGAAACAAAAAAGGCCTTAGTTTTTTTATAACATTACTCGATAAAAAAAATAAGAGGTGGTCCTTTACTGATTCAGATTTTTAAACGGTTTCAATCAAAACCAATAAGATTAAACCAAACTAGACAAAACTGTGAGTGTGAGATAATAATTCGCTTCTACTGAAATGAGCTGTAAAAATTTAAAAATCAAGGCTACACTTGCGCTGACACCAGG